AGCCATACACAACCTGCATCACATAAATACTATGCAAAAAGGTAAAGGTAAAGGTTCCCCTTGCACATACGTGCTAGTCATTTCAAGTTCTAGGGAGCAGTGCTCATCTCCATTACAAAGCCGAAAAGCCAGCGCTGTCTGAAGACGTCTCTGTGGTCATAACTAGATGCTGAAGGGCACATGGAATGCTGTTACGTTCCCACCATGGTGGTCCTTATTTTTCTACTTGCATTTTTTACATGCTTTCAAAGTGCTAGGTTGGCAGAAGCTGGGACAAGTCACAGGAGCTCACTCCATTACGCAGTGCTAGGGATTCAAACCGCTGAACTGCCAGCCTTTCTGGTCAACAAGCTCAGCATCTTAGCCACTGAGTCACTGCATCCCCTTAATACTACACATAGAATAGCCCAAAGCACACATTCTGGTAGAGAGAAGTTCCCTGAGGATGGGCTCCAGCAGGAATCCAAAAGCTTGGGAGACTAAAACTCTGGTCCCAGTGACTGACCCAGATTGGATCTCAGATTATTCCTTGCAGGATTTTAAAAAAAGGCATGTTCATTAGCGTATAAGATGGCCGATCCATGGGGGGCAGCCAAAAGTTATTTTCTGCATTGTATTCAGCTATTGCCATCAACTGAAGTAAGCAATTCCATATAAAGATCTACAGTATGCAATAAGTTATGTTTGTTAGTATAGGAAGTGGCAAAAATCTATATCACACCAATGTTCTATTAATAAGTGCATTAAGGATATAAAGTTCTCACTACTTCTCTTTTTAGCTTAGTTACCTGTACTGGCATGTCCTTCACCCGATGAAAGATTGCCTGTTAACTAGTTAACTAGATTTATTTGCTTGAGAATTTATGTGCCTGCCTGCTAACGCCTGGGCACCCTGTATACAAGGTTGCAGCAATTCCAAACTGCAATACTGTTTGGCAATAGACACAAAGAAAAAATGAAAGGAGAGAGAAACTAAGAAAAAAAATCATTTATCTTCCTAGCTAACCTTGCCTTCAAAAAGAAGAACTGAACTAGATTCATACATGGATGAAAGGCTGCCAAGAAATGTGAAAGCTAGATTGGAAAGTTGACCAAAAAATCCTCCCAGAAGAAGTGGAAAACTACTCTACCGTTGCCAAGAAAATATAATAAAATAGACAAATGTCTGACGTTGAACCCAACTTGGAGTAGGGGTTCCCTCTCTCTTCTTTGCTTCTATCAGCCTAAATAAATAAATTTTAAAAAGATAACTTTGCCCTTCGCTATTATCTGGTATCTATTTTGAATAGCTGCTGACAAAACACAATCTGGATAGTTGAATCTTGATCAATAAAATGATTAAGCTAAATATGGATAAATATAACATATTTATGGTACAATACAGATGAAATGGTAGATATCTGCTGTGAATGAACAGATAAATAACCGAGCTAGCCTTTATTGTTAATTTTTGCAGCAAACAACTTCTCCCTGAATAAAATATATTTTGTAGATTTTAACAACAATGATCTGCAGTCCAAAATATACACAGGCACACATGTAATTAAATATCTTTGAATAAAGTATCTACATATAAAAAGAAAACTGTGCAGCAAATTCAATAAATAATAGATATATAAATTGATCTAACTGGTTAATAATTAAACTGCAATTCTTGGGTGGGGTGATAATTCTCTTTTAAAATAGTTGGATGTATGTTTGAATAGATATACAAAGATTTAATCTGTAAATACTGTAGCTGTCATTGTGACATGCTATGGGAAAAGGACCTGGCATCAAATATCTTATGGAACTGAGCCTTCTTTGGAGGTTCTTGTACATATTTTCATTACCTCAACTCCGAAAGAACCATAAGTGAGGGAGCCTTTAATTTAATTTAGAAACTAAGGCTAGATCTTGCATGCAGAATGTCCAAAATTTGTTCCTTGCATCTTCTCCTTAATATGTATTATCAGGTAGAAAGCCTGGAAGGAGTACCACCAAAACATGGTTGGCAGATATAATCTATCGAAATATAGCTAGATAAATTTGGGATGTGCTGGATATGTTTGTTAGAAACCTATTCATATTATGTGCTATACTCCGTATACATGATTCAGATGTGCAAGCAAAACTCACCCACTTAAGCTAAGCACCAGGGAAATTACATTCCTAGAGACAGAGGAGGAAAAAACAACAACCCTATTTTTCTGTTCTAGATATTTTGCTTGAATAACAAGCATAGTTAGCTAACCAAGAAACACAGCAACCTAGCCTGCAAGGCTGCCTAAGCAGCAGTCACCCAGCTTGACAGCAATCTGAAGTGTATGTAACTCAGCACTAAGTGTCCTTGAACTCAGTGAGATTTCTTTCCAAGTCATCATAGTTAATTTTGCTTAGTGCTGAGTTTTTGTCACATAGAAGACACTGTTACAGTTCTCTCTATATATATAAAGCGAATTTATTTCAGGTTAGTGACCTTGGTAATAAAGCTGTTTGGCAATCACATCAGATCAAATGTATGCATGTACATTTTCAAATTTCATCATTTCAGATGCCTCCTTGGAAGAAGTCCAAGGCTTCCAGGGCCAACTGTATTATGATGTGGTTGTATGTTTCATTTGCTATGCATTAATGCGTCCTTTGTGATGATTCTCAGTGTAATCAAGTACTGTCCTTGATCATCTAGCTTGTCATAAGAAGCCGAGGAGATGGGAAAGCAGCAACAACAGGTCATTTTCTCACTCCGAAGCAACTGATGGAATTAGTCTGCAATACCACATTCTAACCAGAGGTGGTATTCAGCAGTTTCTGACCAGTTCTGGAGAACCAGTAGCGGAAATTTTGAGTAGTTCGGAGAACCAGCAAATACCACCTCTGACTGGAGATTTTACAGTATCCTTCCCCTGCCACACGCACCAAGCCACACCCACAGAACTGGTAGTAAAAAAATTTGAATCCCACCACTGGTGTGCAGACACACTGAACACAAATATGCCATAAGAAAAGTTGAAGATCGGTGCAATTAATTGTCTGAAGCCCTTTGTTCTCACCCCGGTATGATACATTTGTGTCAGATTAACCTGTTACATTTTTCTTCTCCCTCTTCTGTTGTCAACTCCAAGTAACTTCAGAACTTGAATCCCCAAACCGACCCCTCTCTTATAACCAGACCTGAACCCGAATGGCAGCTTATAATCCATTAGTGGTTTAAACAGTGCCAGCTTAAATCCCTGTTCACAACTTTTCAACGTCTTTTCGTTCAAAACTTTCCCTCTTGTTTAAATTGCTCACAAACCGATCTTCAGGGATGTTACCCTACAGCCACATTTCATTAGCCCCATAAACTTTGTGAAATCTCTCCCTTCACAAAGATATTGTCAATTGGTGGAAGATTCATGAGGTTAATTCAGAAAAAAAGTGGGGGGGCATTCAAAACATCATCATCTTGGGGGAAAGGATGAAAATTGAACACATGCACATCTGAAGCAATGGATCGTCATTTTATAATTGCTAATTTACATTTGAAAGATCTAATGGATCAGTCTTTAGCACAATGCTGATTATAATTCTGGCCTGCCAATTAAATCAACCCAGTATGGAATCCTCCATGCACTTACCTGGCAGCAAATCCCATTACCTTCCATTTGATTTACTTCTAAGTAAAGGAGCATAATGTTCAGCCTTACTTTAGTAACTCTGGCAACAGCCAGCAGAATTTGCAAAAATAAAAGCAGCTCTCCAAGACAGTCTTCCACATCTCACAGAGAGGCAAGCACCAAACTTTGAATTTTTCAATCTTGGAGACTGCCATAAAATCCCCCATATCCTATCCAAAAGGCCCCCATTACAATTGCTTTAGCCAGAATCATGATTAGTAACAGGAAACAAAGACAACAGGAAGCACATGGATATGAAGCACATGAGATGGTTTGGAAAGAGGAGATGGACCTTTTTTTTCATGTGGTTTGGTTTACAATGGTTTGGTTTGGAGCCCCTTTGGGAAATCTGCAAGGTGATTACATGGGCTGTGATGTTTTAAATCGTAGGAATGAGGAGTCCTGATTAACTTGTAAGGATGAGTTAATACTCATGATGTTCTTTAGTTTACATAAAGAGATCCACTGTCGATAAAAAGCAGTTTGCCCTACAAGAATCAAGGGCAGGAGCGAGAACTGAACCACTAGAGCTTAAAAAAATCAGTAATGGGAGTCAGCTGGCTTCATAAGAAAACACTTTGTGAACCTGATTTAGTTCCATTTAAAGAGAAATAAAATGCAGCAAAATCAAATACGGTGCTTAGAATAGAAGAAGGCCAATGTGTGGAAATATCGACACTGAATCCTTGCTCATTCAGATCTATTTTTTAAAGAACAGAATATTTGCCTATTGCAGACTCTATTTCAAAATCCAAAATTTCCCCGAAGGATTTCAAATTATACATTAGTGGCCTTTACAATCAACTCTGATTTCAGTAGGCCTAGTGGTTCATCTTCTCATATTTTGTAAAGATATAGCAGAGGAAAAGGATTTGTCATGACCACTGAATGGTTTAAAACTGTTTAATAGGACGTATCTGGTACTATAAACATGGGGATGTTGAAGACAGAAAGATTTCTTGCTTCCTGGCATGATTTATTTATTTCATTCAATAAATCTTGAGGTCACTCCCTGCTTCACATACTAAATTTGCCTTGCATTCTCCTTATATAACCTACACTCAGGATTGTAGCAAAGGTTATCATGGAAGCCTTCCTTGTAATGTGTTTTTTTTTTGAGGGGGGGTGAGCTTCTACAAGGATAATGATGCATTGATTACTGGATGGTGAATCAATCATTTCACCTTGTATAACAAATCCACAAATGTTATAATTCTAGGACAAAAAACAAAATATTCTTCTGGTTTCTGGACCATACAAAGGCTATGATCTTTTCTCTCTAGTAAGATATCTTACTTCTCTTGGTTTTCTTTATTTTCCTATCTCCATATTGTCATATAAAAAGAAAGTAAGATTACTTACATGTGTCTGGTTTATGGCAGTTGTGGCCTTGTCGGAAGTATTGTGGGTTTTCGATGACAGGAATCCGGGTCATACCGATCACCACCGTGTCTGGGCCAGTGTCCAATGATGAAGGTGTGGTGATGCCATGATTGATGTGATGAAGAGGGCTAGCAGAATCCTCTTCTCCACTGATTACAGCCACAGGACCTAAAAACAAAGAGATATGTCATCATCATCATCATCATCATCATCATCATCACCATCAATCATCTCCAAGCATTTTTCCTGCAAGTGCAGGGTCCACTTTGCAGATCAATAACCATCTTCTTGTGTGATCAAATGCAGCACCTGGGGCTAAGTGGACATTTTCCATGTCTGCCTTTCTTGTTCCTTGGCATCTTTGCCAAACAAAGAGCTACATAAGAATACAGAAAATAGTTTGTCAGCACTGATGAAGAGTATCTATCCCAGGTCTCTGATAAAACCTGTCATTTTTGTATGCAAAGTGTAATTCTTTCCTTGTAGTAATGCCAAAAAAAAGTTACTGGTCAACAAGAACTCTTATTCCATAGTCAACTATTTGTATAAATATGTTAATGTTTTGGGATCAAATCAAATGTTACATTCTTTATGAAGACTGCATTCAGTTAATGAATTTCCCCCAACTTGATACACAACTCCAAGTTTCTTGCAAGAAACACTTATGTTCTATAGGCTTTTCAGGCCTTGATCCACAGAAACATAATAACTATTACCCGCAAAGCAAATTTCCTATTATTATGACCAGAGTATGAGGCCCCTGCTCCAGCAGTGACAATATGTATAGGTGCATGAATTTATTGATGTTAGCTGTTTAAAGCCTCCAGGAATGGGCAGCATACAAACTACTTAAAAACAGACAAACAGTCTCAACTCTGCCCCAATATTAATTCCATAGATGAACAAACAGATTGGATTTCTCCAGTTCTTAGATTCCACTTATGGATCCTCCTATATTTCTTTCCTTCCCATCCATCATTGTTATTTAACCTAAATCAACTTTCACCCAGCTTTTACCGATCTTTGGCAGATTTTTACATTACTCCATCAATCCATATCTTTCACCATGCTTACCGGGTGTCAGAGGAGTGAAAACCTCAACTCAGCTTTAGAAAAATTGATCTAATGAGCTTCTTTGTGGGACCACATGCATCACACATACACACACAAACACAGAGAGAGGCGGGGGAGGGAGGGAGGGAGGGAGATTATGTGTAGTCACAAATCAGAAGAGGTTGGGTACCATCTTCTCAGAGAAACAAATTTTATTAAAAGGCTTTTGGGAGTTACAGCTCACTTTATCAGATGCATGTAACTTCATACTTTAATATAACTTGTTAGTCTAGAAAAGATGCTGCTAGAGTTCTTTGATTTCTGGACACCATAGGGCTCTCCTTCTATTGCATTTGTTGCCATTGTATCTTTAAATGCAGAATAGTTGCCTCCAAATATGTACGCCTGCCTCAAATATGGTGGCTTTCCTGAGATTTCCTTTACACCATAGAGAAAAATTACAGTATTACAAAATAACAGAAATGGATACGACCTTGGAGATCTTCTAGTTCAGATCCTGTTCAAGCAGCAGACCCTATACCCTTCTGGACAAATGGCTGCCCAGTCTCTTCTTGAAAACATCCAGTGATGGAGCACCCACAGCTTCTGAAGGCAAGCTGTTCTACTGATTGACTGCTCTCACTGTCAGAAAGTTTCTCCTTAATTTCAGGCTGTTTCTCTCCTTGATTAATTTCCATCTATTATTTCTTGTCTTGCCTTCTGGTGCTTTGGAAAATAAGATCCCAGATCCACATGTGTGTCCCAAATCCACATAGGCAATGCAGTAAAAAGGATGGGACTGCTATTTCTGAAATGAAATTTGGCCTTTGGGCTCTTTTCCCTGAAAGTAGGCTAAATTATCCTGGAGGAGGTACGTAAGAGTGAAAGGATGAATTCTCAGCAGGCACCCTTTCCCTTGCATTACCCCCTATACCCCCTATGCCAAAATCCCCTCTCCCACCATAAAAATGGTCTATTCCAGTGATGTCCCAGACATCAGTAATATCCCCTGTTGTTTTCAGGCAGGATAGAAAGGCTGTTGTAAGACACACACACACACACACACACACACACACCAAAAATCCATGTGTACTCATGTCCTCATGATACTTAGGATTTCATTGGCACTTGGAAATCAAAACATACATTTACATTCCTCAACTCCAAGGTTTCACAGAGACCTGCAAAGCCCTTTGCTGTCTATTTGCAAGGAAGCCCCAGATTCCTAGTAGGAGGAGAAGAGTAAAGGGACAGAGATCAACAGCCTCCTTGGCATTTTAATCAAAGAACCACAATTTGTTAAACCAGAGGAGAGAGAAAAATGATGCCTAGAGTGATTTTTCTTCTGCTGTCTTGAGACTCTCACTGAGAGGAGGAAGAGTCAATCCATTTCATTTTCTGTGTCTTTCTTCTGGATGTATGGGGTGAGTGGGCAACAGAGATATCTTTTTTATGTCACCTGATCTATTCCAAATTGCACAATTTATTTTTATGGAACATGAGTCAGCAACAAAAGGTAAGCTTCAAAGTTTATTGATGAAAAAGGGTTTTTTAAAAACTTGGGAATGGGATGTGAATAGCAATAGCAATAGCACTTAGACTTATATGCCACTTCATAGTGCTTTACAGCCCTCTCTAAGCAGTTTTACAGAGTCAGTATATTGCCCCCAACAATCTGGGTCCTCATTTTACCAACCTCAGAAGGATGGAAGGCTGAGTCAACCATGAATCAGTGAGAATCAAACTGCTGGCAGTGGGCAGAATTAGCCTGCAGTGTAATAGCCTGCAGTTGTAATAGTGTAATAGCACTTAGACTTATATACTGCTTTGCAACCCTCTCTAAGTGGTTTACAGAGTCTGCATCTTGCCCCCAACCCCACTCTCAATAACTGCCAGTGCCGGGCCCAAGCCCACATGAGAAAAGTAAAGGTAAGGAAGGTATCAAACTCTGCAACGTCACTCAAGATTTCAATGTCGCATCATTACGCATCAAACCCAAAAGAACACTTGAGATGCACTGCAGATCGGGCGAAGTGGTGGGCAAAATGCAAAACCACACACCCCACAATATAGTGAGATGTGCACAATATAGTTTGCACATATAGTGCAAAGAAATGGAACCTAATAAAGCCATGATATAATCAGTCTGATTTCTGGCAGCCATAATAGATATTGCACTCAGAAGAAAGTCATTACTCTCTCCACATTTTTTCCCACTCCCTAACTCCAACTTTTATTGTAAACTGAATTTGACAAATTTGCATTTCTTTCTCTTTTTTGTCCTTTTGACTACAATTGCCGTTGTCAATGTGAGTGATAGAGGATACTGCACAGGAAGTGGCTACCCATGGTATGGATGCTGAGCCAATAAACTTTATGAGACTTACAAGATTTCTGTTTTCTCAGCAAGCAAAAGGGAAGCACGCGGTTTGAAAACCAAACAAGATTTCATTAAATACTAGCAAGGTGATGGTCATTCGGAGTGAGAGTGCTACAAGTAAATAGAGGTATTATTGACCTTCTTATAAAATAGATAGGGTCTATTTGTCTCAACATGAGGGAACCATAATGGCACTCCCAAAATTTTCCACTACTTAGATTTTCATTACAAAGGGGATATGTTCTACAGGTTCTCACCTTCTTTCTGGGGATCAGAAGGATGGAGAATAGCAGAATATTGGTACATGCTATTTTGTAGGCATTGACATAAATCCAAAAACAATTCATTTTTTTTTCTACAACACACTAGACTAAGCTAAAATGGGTTTCAGTAGTTCTGTGTAGAGAGTTTGAACATCTGAATATCCAAATGTTTTTCAGGAAGGACCCCATAGTAAGAGAGAGAGGAAGACACATTCTCCCTTAAATGCAGACACACGTGCATGTGAGTGCGCATGCACGCGCATACATACAGAGAGAGAGGGAGGAGGAAGAGAAGGAGGAGGGAAGAAGAAGAAGAAGAAGAAGAAGAAGAAGAAGAAGAAGAAGAAGA